CGAAAAAGAGTATCCATCATTAATATAAAGCATGCCTTATTTTGTCACTTTATCCTAGTAGCTTGTAGATTGACTTTTATCAAAAAGTCTCTAGAAATAGCCACTGACTGCACAGGTAGCCCAAGCTATTCGATAGAAATGGCTCTAAATGGCTCAAAATGGCCTGAAACCTCACAGGCATACAAAGAAAACTACAATAAACAGTTAGGGATGCATATCTTTTATTAACTTAACATATTTCGCAAAATTTCTAAAAACGGTTCAAGTGCATAGCTTGGGCTACCTGTGCTGACTGTGCTGACTGTACGATTTTAGCCGCAGGGACGGGATGGGTATGCCAACACCACAGGAGGTCCATTTATGAATCATACCCCGAGCAGCATGCTACCCCGAGCCTTTTTAATACGTTCATACGTCGATCTAAATAGAGTGGAAAGTATAACAAAAGACACAAAAGCCCAACATGCTACTATTGTCCAAAAAGAAAAGTTATATGGCTACAGTATAGTTATGACTGGTCACGTGATGGATTAAAACRCTGGGGCACTTTGTGGGTTTGCAATGATAATAATATTGTTTATTGTCTCTAACTTCAAATTAAATTACATAAAAATAAAATGAGCAAATGTTTATTACCAATTCATTAGCAAAGTGCAATGGCGAGTTATGGACAATATCGTACCCAGAGACGTATCTGTAATGCCTATACATGCTTGACAATGTATGTACAATAATTTACAAATTTATCGTTTTTTTTTTCATTTCTACTATGAATTCTCTTCAGTGATACTGCTGACAATAARTTGTGCATTTACTTTGACGTCATCATAACAACAAATTCTGAAAACAAAGCAATTAAGGGTACATTAATATATAATGTATATAACACTGAGCTGAATATTTCTGCCTCAGAGCACGCCACTGACCATCTTATATTACTGTGCAAAAACCAAGTTCTTTGTCGCAGACCAAAAGTTCAATGCGCGCTCTGGGTACGAGATTGGCCTCAGACCACAGGGAGCCCAAGCAAAGTAGATTTTTTTTAACCCATTTATAATGCTTTGTAAGGCCGAATAAATAA